CTCCAGGACTAGGAACAATGTGGCAGCCTACCTCTCGGTCCCGGGCCGCCAGCTGGAGTCCCGGAGCCGGGCTGACCGCATCCGGGAGCGCTATGTCAACCGGCACAGTGGACCCCCGGGCAGTGCCCCGTCTTCCTCCAGCCCGGCAAGCGGCGGAGAGGTGGCCATGTGGGCCTGCAAGAACCCTGCTGTACTCTTCTGTCGGGATGGGCAACCAGACACAATCTCTGAGGCCGCATTTCAGGCCAAGGCGGACACTGTCGACACCAGCCTCTGAAGGGATGGGGGTCCGGGATGGAGGCATTGGGCCCTGGGGCCATGTCCCTGAGGAAGTGTGTGGGAGCCCTGGCTCTTGGAGCCCTTTGCGGACAGACTACCAGGAAACTGGAGAAGTGGGACTGCGTGAGCCATAGTGTGGTTTCTTCTCCATTGTGTGAGCTCTGGTTTGGCGACCCAGTCTGCGAGCAGCAAGAGCTCCACAGGGAGAGGAGGCACCCCTTTCCCTTTCAGCAGGCCTGATGCACTGGTGGCAGCCGCCGTGCCCAGCCAGCACAAGCGCTTGACTGCAAGAAGAAACACCATTTGCTCCAGTCCTGCAGAAAGTGCCACAGGGAAGCTGAGAGACAGACACACAAATACAGCCCGAACTGACTGACTGTGTGAGCTGTTTGTTAAGTGCCAAAAAAGCAATTGAAAGCTGAGCACTGGCAGCTGGAAGACACTCTGAAAACACCACACTGTGAAAACCGCATCATGACAGGAAAATGTTGCTTTAACCCATTATATGTGGAAGTGCTGATAGTCAGAAAGTCATAGATGGTAGAACAGACTAAAAAGTGATCTATTCAGATGATTTTTTTTTATTCAAACTCCCAAGCATAACAAAGCAGCAATTATTGTGCAAGGGAAGATGTAGGATACCAGGAGGGAAGGAAAGGAAGATGAAACGTCAGCTGTCAGAATTTCAGCAGCCTTTTCTTTTTTTTTTTTTGCAGGTACACAGTAAGTTTAAAATACTGTGAATATGAGAAATTAGAGTTCTTAAGACAGACTGAGGAAAAAGGTGTGGGGGTAGACTGTAGTATCACTAAGTTTGTGCACAAGGTGTATGTTTTCTTTTTGAGCTCATCTGAAGTCTCTCACATCTCTTTAACCATGTTTAGAGGAGCCGTGCAAGAGAGGTGAGTATCTGAAAGGAGAGGTAAAGCAATACCATGCGCTGTTTGTGTGCTCTTAAGCATGCGAAAATGTGTACATGCAGAGAACGGATATTGTTGTATTGATGGCAGTAATCCATCTGGAGTATAATATTTAAAAACCAGCTCTGTCTGCCATTGATAGAAAGGGAAGAATAACACAATGGAAGTGAGACTGCACAGCATAAATTCCTATGAATTTATCAGTATAATTTTTTTGTCCAGAGGCCTAAAGCCTTAAATTAGTACTTTGAATCTGAAACAGAGATTGGGCCTTCCTTTACTTTTGCTGGAGTTAAATGTGAAAGACAGGCAGTGTTTTTCCTTGTACAGGCTTTAAAAATACAATGTTACTGTTTTACTGGCTTTTTCAACTGTTTGTGACCCAAGTGAACATACTATCATTATTTTGTAAGTGAGAGAAGAAATAAATCGTCTTTTATGCAGGAGATGAAAGTGTCTCAGCCTGGCTTCATTCTCAGCCCAGCCTTGAGAAGGGAACTTATGTAAAAAATTGCCAGATGAATGATAGTAGAGAGAGACCTAATTGTTAATGAAATTCTAATGCAGCTGTTTTTCGTGCTGTGAACATCACTATACTTTTCTTCTGTGATGTTCCTGAAGTCCACGAGGAAAAGATTTGACCCTTGATTACTTCTCAGCACTGATACTTTGCCCTGCAGATCTTGGATTTTGCAAGTTGTGCAGGGTATTCATACCATTTTCAGAGAGCTGTATAGAAAACCCACAGCTTTTCACAGAAGCTGTTTGACAGCAGCTGAACACTAGTGACTTGTTAGAAGGGTAGGACAGGAATTTCTTGCATACCTGCCCTTCCGCAAAGCCAAAGAGGTGGTTATGAATGATGAGATTAGATTTAACTCTTACCTAAGTAGCTAGCAGGTGGTAACAAGGAGATTGGTGTGGGCTAATTTGCCATACATAGCACTCTGGTGTTTGAACAGCTTGAAGAGCTTTTGCCTGAGTTCCACTGGTCGTTGAATCTTATATTATCTATGGAAAACTTGAACTATGATCCAGGAGATAGCAAAGAAAACCCGCAGGGTTCTGCCTTCCCAGAAGGGATGTTTCTTCCTAAATTGTAGCAACAGTCCTTAGAGTAAGTTCTAGTGCTCTGTAATGCTGGGAGGACAGAAGCAAGGAAAGCTGTCCAAGCTCAATACCCATTAGCCTTGCGTAGTATAGACAGCAGGCAAAGGCAGACTGCTTGTGGTTCATGGACCGCCTGCAGAGCAGCACCCTAACTCTGATCCTCTGGCCATGGTACACCTAGCATGTTTGGTTTGTAACCTTACTGTGGTATGAAGTCTGTGTTGTAGGAGAAAGGATGTCACTGTTTTTAGCCTGGCCCCTCTGCAGCTCTGAAGCAGAGCCTGCACTTTGACCAGAAGTGATCATTTAGAGCCTCCCGGTCTTTAGCACCACACAGATTTACAGGGGTGGGGGTTTTTTTTGCATTTTTTGCATGCCAGAAGAGCTTTCTCCACCAATTGGAACAAACTTGGTCAGAGTAGATGAACTAAGGGATAGTTCTTGGGTTAAGAAAACGAGGCAGGTGAAGGTCCACCACCGCTACGCCTGACTCGTGGCTTGTCTTTCAGTGCTATCTATGGCTGCACCGATCATGTGGCAGAAAGGCCCTGAAAAGGATGGTCCTGCTCCCCCTGGTGCTCAGCTCTGGCCACCTTCCCAGTCCCCACCACCCCTGCTGACTCTTGCTAACCAGCTCAGGCACTAAACGACAGAAAACTGCTGATTCCTTCTTTTGCATGCTTGTTTAGTTTTCTACTGATTTAGTGCCCTGACCAGTGTACCACAGGCCAGATAAGCATCCTTGTGGCAGTTGCTTCTGGCAAGGGCAGGACTGGGGATGCCAGGACTGAAGCTGACCACAAAGCGTAACAGGACCTGCACCAGGAATGAACTAACACTTTCTAGGAAGGTGGTAGTGAAGCTGGAACAACACAGATTTCCACGTATTTTAACAAGCACTGGCCGGTGCCTGTACATTAGTCTTGTATGTGAAGAGCTGAATGAGGGCAGCTGGCTGTGGCCTTTCAGCCGTCACAAATTAGCTCATTTCTGTTAAACACTAACTTGGGCAGTAGCAAGGGGAGATTCTTGATCAGATCCTTTTTGCTGTGGACCTGCTGCAGCTCCAGTAGAGAGCCAGCCTGTGTTTTAAAGCTGTGCCTGTCCTGTACTCTTCATAATCGTAGAATCACAGAATCATTTATGTTGGAAAAGACCTTTAAGATCACACAGTCCAACTGTAAACCTAACACTGCCAACTCCACCACTAAACCATGCCTCTAACTGCCACATATACACATCTTTTAAATGCCTCCAGGGATGGTGACTCAACCACTTCTCTGGGCAGCCTGTTCCAATGCTTGATAACCCTATCAGTGAAAAACTTTTTCCTAATATCCAATCTAAACCTCCCCTGGTGCAACTTGAGGATGTTTTCTCTTGTCCTATCACTTATTACTTGGGAAAAGAGACCGATACCTACCTCACCACAACCTCTTTTCAGGTAGTTGTAGAGAGTGATAAGGTCGTGTCGTGTCCCCCCCCTCCCCCGTGAGCCTCCATTTCTCCAGGCTAAACAGCCCCAGATCCCTCAGCTGCTCCTCATATCACAGCACTGTTGAGCAAGCCAGTTACATAGGTCTCTACAGCCACATTTTTAAAAGTATGTTTTACAAAATGCAACCAAAGTGTGAAGTGTCTTAAATAAACCACAAACAGCAGTAAGAGAGAGACACACAAACGCATACAACACACGCCAAAGGCTGCACGCTGCCTGCCAAAACGGTACTTGAAATGCTGCTGTGTCCCAGCTGCGCTGAAGGTTGCTGCCTTTCACCAACAGTGCGGAGTGGGTGAGAAGGTCTTGGACATGTTAGCACACAATCCAGCGTGTCAGTCTGTCCTTGTACCTGACAATAGCTCCATGTGTTTATCTAGGAGAAGGAGACCTGAGGTTTACCTCACCGTTTTACCCTCGCTCTGAAAATTGTTGCCTATGGTCGCAGCTGCTTCTTCCTGGGTAAGAAAACATTGCAGGAGGTGGGTCCTGGCCAAACCTCTATGGGGACATCATCTCCACACCTCTTACAAGCTCATGCTGGTGTCACCCTACTTAGACATCCCCTTTCTTTGGGCTGAAGGAGAACTCAGAAGGCAGCAAGACACCGAGGTTTTAGACACTGCAAAACTAGCTTTGAGGCTCCAACCCTCCAGCTATGGCTCTCCAATATTTCCTTCCTTCCTCCTCCCTTGAGGTAAGTATGGATGCAAGGCAAACCGCAGTCTCATTTGTACAAGGGATCTGCAAAGGATGTTGGGACACTTTTTAGCACCTCAATTCAAAATTCATGTGGGTTATTCAGTGTGGGATGTTCAGCATAAGAGAGAGAGCAGTTCACATGATTTGAAGGCCAGTTCAGCTCTGGACACCAGTGGCAACATTAGTCAAAGCCAAATTAAAAATTAGTTCTTGGGCTCTTTTGTCCCGTGATGACTTTCCAGCATACTTACCCTCAGTTTAAGAGTGCCATACTATCTAGCAATGATACACATGCCACTGATATAACTAATGCATTATATATTAGAATGAAACCATTAAGTCTTGATGAATGACAAGCATGTCAGAAGGCACTGTTACAACTGAAGTCAGTGGTAGTTTTGCCGTTGTTTTAATCATCAGATTCATTCAAGTCATTATTTTCCACTCCTTTCCTAATCTCCGGATGAAGTCTCGATTCAAAGCAAATGCTTTGTGCATAACTTAGGAAGTATGACCAACTAGCAGTTTATAAGTGACAGCCTGTTGGGGCTGTAATAGCTGACAAGAATGACCAGAACCGGGACAGCTCACATGAATGAGATCCGCCGTCCCTGCTTCTCTTTCAGCACTGGTATTGGCTTGCACATCCGGTAGATGCCAGCAGAGGTCTGAGCAGCCAGCACAGCCTTTCCACTAATGGTCCTACGAAAAACCTCCTTCTGTTAATGGGATCAACCACTCTGCCTTCAGGACTGCCGTGTCCCAGAT